GCAAGAACACCGTCAGGCGTGGGCTGTGCTGGTCCTTGAGGATGGCGTCGCCTGGGCGGTGGCTGCCCCCGGTGCTGTCCCAGAAGCCGCCCGGCGTGCTCAGCCCGGCGACGTATGTGATGCTCACCGCGAATGTAGCCAGAAGCATCAGGACCTTGCGGAGCCGTTCTTCGGCTTTCAGCTTCTTCAGGGCCTTGCGGTCGCGGAACCATTCTTCGACAGTGGTCGGGTCAGAGCCGAGGATGGGGGTGGGAACCATGTCGGTACTGGAGTCGGGATTTGGAGTGGGCATCATGTCGCCGGAGCCGGTGTTGTCGTTGGAGACGGGCATCCCGCCGTCACAGCTGGCGACGGGGCCGTGACTCGTGCCGGTGCCGGAGTCAGGATTGGGAATGGGCGTCGTGCCACCGGAGTCGGAGCCCGTGTTGACGGGCATCCCGTCTACGGAGCTGGCGACGGGGGCAGGAATCATGCCGGCACTGGAATCATAGTTCCTGTCCCAGCAGTCCATCAACTTGAGAACGAGGATGTAGAGGAAGACGATGGCCACAAGTACCGCGAAGTAGAAGATTGAAATCTTGTCGCGGCAGGTACGGCGCCGTACGCACCCATGAGGCTGAGCAGGTCCAGCACCATGACTAGCCGCAGGGGCACGACAACCCATTGGCTGTCCTTCCCCTTCTTGTCGTGCCGGATGGCGAGGATGAGGATGAGGACGATGACCACGAGCGACGCGGCGAAGGCGGCGGCGTTGCAGTAGAGGAAGGCGAGGTAGCGGTGGTAGTGGGTGTAGCGGATGATGGGGTCGCCGGCAGGTTGGCCATCGTGGGCGGCCTGCCAGACGCCTCCCGGCGGGTTGAACCCCTCCGTGTAAGTGACGGTCACCACCAAGGTGGCCAGCAGCAGGAGGTACTTCCGCAGGCTGTACTCCCATGGCTGCACGGGCGGCTTTGCCGGCTGCACCTGCGCCATTGCCGGGTGCAGAGATGCTGCCTCTGGCTGGCCTGGCTGATCCATTGGCACTGCGGGGAGTGCCGGCTGCAGCTCCACGGCAGGGACATCACACTCCATTCTCTCACTCAACAGCTGCTGTGCTTCCGTTAACTATTGTGATGCAGAATGACGAAGGGAGCTATAAAACGACCTGACTTGGCGCGTCGTCGGGACGAAGCTGCCTAGCCTATTCCCACATGCCTCAGGGTCTTCTCCGATCAAATAAACTAATCACTTCTCTTTTACTTATTTTTTGCGTTTACGTTTTTGGATGTGTTTGTGTGGATTTTCGTTGGGCAGATGTTTTTCGGCCTGGTCATGATTCTCTTTATTTTTACTAATACAGCTTTCCTAGGGGTCAGCATTTGCATATCTGCTATAGATTTTCTTGTTACTTGGATCTCATAGCTCTCACCGTCCAGTGGGTGTAGCACTGTTTTCTTTTAATATCCTTAAGCTGGATTTCGAATGATAACACTTTCTCCGTCTTGTGCAAGTCATTGGTAAGATACTTCCCTTTTTTAAAAGAACACTAACTGCTTTATTGAGATAAAAAAAACATACAGCTATAGTTTGTACATAGCAGACTTGCAAGAGAGAAAAATAATAATGTACTCCCTCCGTTCGGAATTACTTGTCACAAAAATGAATAAAAATGGATGTATCTACAATTAATTTCTAAGACGAGTAATTCCGAACGGAGGGAGTAACTCCTAACGACATTTTCTCCGTCTTGTGTGAGTCATTGAGTAAGACACTGACTTGCTCGACTCACCTGGTTTGAACCTACTTATGAAGTTGTGTGGCAGCGGGCGAGCAACTTCATAGATAGAGAGAGGGAGTATATAAGAACGGAGGGAATGATAATTTCGGAGGGATTGGATATAAGAGTTTAGATCCTAAAATCCCACCATTTCATTATAAATTATGTTGTTATTCCTTGGCTAGTCAGCGAGATCGAGGAGATGATGAAGGATGATAGGGAGATCTTCGTTACTAAGATTAGTCGTTCTAAGAATAAAGTTAGTTAATAATAGCCTCTCTTCCACAATCAGTACCCGTTCGAGACCTAGAAATATGACACATCCGATGTCCAATCTCTTGACAACTGCATTTTTAAATTCATTTCACTTCTTTATAGGTGCCAAATGGTGCTTGTAGTTCCCTTATTTGGTCTATTTTGTTCAGGTTTATAAGACCTACATGTATTTCAAGATTAATTTTGACAATCTATTTAAGCAAAAAATATTGATTATATGTCACAAAAGAAGTATATTATCAAATTTGTATTATAGAGAAGTTTTTTACATGATTTTTTCTTTTCTTTAGTGATTGTATCCTCGTGTGACTTTATTGGGTTGTGTACCTCTGCCGATGAAGCGGAGCTTCGAGCGTGCCTTGTCGGGTTATATAGATGTTTACCCTTCACAAACCCATGTGTTTTCAAAACTGATTGTTCCTTTGTGGTGTCTTTTCTTGCAAATGAAACCCTTGACATGTCCCGTCTTGTTGATCCGAAAAAGGAAGCATTTAACATCACTAAGCCTATCAATAGTTTCAAGATTATTAAGATTAATTGACACGCTAATGTGGTGGCGCATGAGATTGCTAGGTTTATTTTGATAATAGGTTAGACGGTGTGCTTTATAATAGTGTTCCGCTTTGCGTGGCTAATGCTGCAATGAATGATTTTAAGAATTTGTTAAATAATTAATATATAGGAAGGGGTTTTAAAAATCAAATTTGAGAGAAAATTCTAGTGGTATAAGCATTGTTGAGGAAATCATTAACTGGTAGCTGCTCGATTGGCTGGCGAGTAGGGGATTAATAGGCTAATCGGCAAGTTAATCTATTACTCAGACGATTTAGTAGTTTACCAGCTACTCGGTGACCCTATGGGTAGGGATTAACCGATAAGTTAACTGGTTAATTGAAAGAACTCTTGAACCGGATGTTCTGGCTCTTTCTAAATTGGATGTATATAGACTGTTTGTTCACTCATTTTAGGATGTTCTAGCTCTTTCTGAATTGGATGTATATAGACACATTTTAATGTGCTTAATCATTTATTTTAGTCTATAGGTATGTAATCAATATTATTAAAAGATCCAAAACATCTTATATTTATTGACAAAGAAGGTACTTATTACACTTATAACAAATATCTTACATATTATCATCAACCTGAAATCATAGTAAATTATAAAATACTTGACCCGTCCCACAATATAATACTCCCTCCGTTCCTAAATATAAGTCTTTGGAGAGATTTTATTATAAACCACATACGGATATATGTAGATGCATTTTAGAGTGTAGATTCACTCATTTTGCTCCGTATGTAATCCATAGTGGAATCTCTCTAAAGACTTATATTTAAGAACGGAGGGACTACGTTATTATATCCAACATATGTGACTAAAAAAGTAAGAAATTCTTTCAACATTCATGTGTGTCTCTGATTAACATCGCTTAATATTTGCGTGACCGCGGCATGCACATCCATGCCAACATATTCCCTCCCCCTTGTCCCTAATGCCTCCTCTTTCTCCTTCTCCTCCAAGAAAGAAAGTTAGGGTTCGTCCCTCTCGCCGACGCCGGCGCAGGTCCGCCTCGTCTCCGGTGGCCCTAGGGCCATGGAGGCGCGGTGGATCCAGGCAAGGGCCGGCGGGAGGGCTCTGTTTTTAGTCTTTTTTTCAATCTTGTTTGGATTTGTGTCCTGCTCAGGAAGGTGAGACGGTGGCGGCTCCCTGAAGATGGAATAAAGGTTTTCCCGCCTAGCCCCCGTTCCGGCGGTGCGTCTAGCATCGTTGGTGGGCATGTGGAGGTGTGTTTCCGACGGATCTATCTTTGATGGATTTGCTTGGATCTCGTCATTGTTCATCTACGTTCGTGTGTCTTCAGTTTGGATCCTTCCAATCTATGTTATTCTTCATCGGCGGGGGGTGCTGGTCTTATGGGGTCTTAGCACGATGACTTCCCGACTGTCTACTATAACAAGTTGTGCCCGACTCCGGCGATGGAGGGGCGATGACGGCGGCGCGCCTTCGACTCGCTTCAGTGCTTGTAGTCGTCGCTAGGCGGTCTACGAATCTGGATGCAATTTTTATTTTTGATGTTCGTTGTACTGCCATGATTGAATATGAATAGATGGAAGTTTTCCCGTCAAAAAAAATATATATATACTCCCTCCCTTCATGAATACACAATGTTTTAGATATTTCAATAGTGATTACATATGGCCTGAAATGAGTGTACATCCAATTCACAAAAAGTATTCTACTATTTGTGAACATTATTTCTATAACTTTCGTTAACATGCATTATTTTTGTTTGCGCGTTAATCAATGGAGAGACCGTTGCTACCTTCCTTTAATAAAAAGGGTTTGTTGCTCCGGCAGACAGAGCCGCGCGGGGGCCAGAAGCAGGAGCCAACGCGCCGCTCCTTCTCTCCGGCAATCGTCGGCGAAGACCTTCCGCGCCTGCCCAGCGCAGCACGGCGCCTGGCCTTCCGCTTTCAAGGTATGTTTTCTCTCGATCAATGATCACTAATTATTAGGATTGCACAATATTTCAGACTGTACCTGGTGACACAGTATGTTTCAGTAGTAACAACAAATGCTTCAGTTTCTGAAATACAAATGTAATTGTCATTCATGCACTTCCCGTTCAAGTTCTTATGAGACACAGTGCACACAGGGTCAGGAAAGCGTCGCCTACCAAGCGTACTCATCAGACTACGGTACAAACACACTTGCTCAGGGAGTTGAGGAACAATGTCAGCATGCTCCAATTGGATGCAGGTTGTTCATCTGATTACATCAACTAGACTAGGAATCTAAAAACAGAGAGAGCTAGCTAGAGCAGAGACATTGGACAGGGCTAAGCTGACTACAGATCTAGAGACGGGGAGAAATAGGCAGATCATCAATCGCCCCGAATTTGGTTTACTTTGTGGACTGCCCTCATGTTAGTGGAGCTGCACCACAAAGCACACTGATAATGAATCATACTATGATTCCCATGGCTGCTTCGGCATCGCGCTTCTTACGGCGACGTTCAAGACATGTTGAAAGCTTCATGTGGATTAAAAAGTAGCCCAGCACGGCAATGATGAGCGCGACGACATACATGGACGTCTTCCACCCCCTGTTGGACCCGGCTGCATAGGCCCCTAGGAGAGCAAATAAATCCAGTCTGATCGTCCTGTTCATCACCCTCAGCGACCATTTCTCCCATTCCCCTTGCTGCTCCTTTCGCAGCCATTGCGGTAGCAACATGATGATGACGACGATGGAAGCCATAAAGGAGGTGGAGTTGCTGTAGAAGAAGATGAGGTACCGGGGCCTCCTGTTGTCGTGCATCACCGGATTGCCTGCCTCGTACCCGCTGTCGCTGCCCTGCCATGCTCCGCCAGGCGGTTTCTCTCGCCACCAAGATACCTAGCAGCATCAGGTACTTGCGCCTTGCATGCTTCTTCCTTTCTCCCTTTTCATCCTTCTGTTTAATGGCTGCTGAGGACGGATTTTTTTTGGAATTGCCATGTCTCTTCCGCAAAAATAGTAGCAGCAGTCCGGCTGCAACGAGGAGGACCACGACTGCCAACACAAAGATGTAGATGGATGTCTTGAGGTGTTGCGTGCTTCCGGCGGCGTAGGCTCCCATCAAACAAAGCAAGCCCACCGCTGTACAAACAGATAGCGCATTGCTTCGTATGGCTGGCCTGTACAGATTGGGGTTCACCAGGAGGATGATGAGCAATGGACAACATGAAGCTTATTGAGTTGCAGTAGAAGAAGGCATTGTAGCGGCGCGGGTAGTTGTCCAAGAGGACCGGGTCGCCGGCGTGGTGCCGTCCAAGCTTGTCGTCCTGCAGCAGGAAGCCGCCGGGAGGGGTGAGGCCGGCTTGGTAGGTGATGGTCGCTGCCAAGATTGCGAAGAGGAGCAACCGTTTGCGCCTCTTCTCCAGCAACAGATCTTCTTTAGCATCGTCTTTCTTATCCTTGTGGTCCAGAGTGAAGAAGACAATATGGATCACGACATAGATCAGGACAGCGCCTGCTAAAGCCATGGCGTAAATGGATTTGTTCACGTCCCGACAGCTCCCAGCAGCATACGCGCCGATGAGGCCAAACAGGACGAGTATCATGGCTGCCTCCAACGCGTGGTGCTTGACAAGCTTCTCCTTCTGGACCAGGACGATGGCCACCAAGGAGGCTACAAACGCAACCGAGTTGCAGTAGTAGAAGGCTCTGTACCTTGCAATGTTTGTTGTGAGGAGAATCGGATCACCAGCCATGTGGCCATTGCTGTTATCCTGCCAAAGGCCACCCGGCGGGTCCAACCCCGCTGCGTAGGTGATGGCGGCAGCAAGAGTGGCCAGCAGTAGAACAAGAGAGCGAGCCTTGTCCAAAGCCTCCCTAGCACTGCATTTCATTGCATTTTAGAGAAAGAAGAAACAGAGTTTAGTTTCAGAGAATGAAGAAACAGAGTTCAGTTTCAGAGAAAGGAGAAACAGAGTTCAGTTTCAGAAAAAGAAAGAAACAGTGCTCTGTACCTCTCATCAGTGTCCTCATTTTCATCAGGTTGTTGGGCTGGACTGAAACAACAACAAAATAATTTTGGTGCTGAACTGCAGAAGCGATGGAGGAGGATGTATGCCAGAACGGCGCCAACCAGGGAGAGCACGTAGACGGTGGTGTCGGTCTCCCTGCAGCTGCCTGCGGCGTAGGCGCCAACAAGCCCGACCAGCGCGGCGACGATGCACCCGTAGAGCATGCGAGACCGAGCCTTCTTCTTGTGGAGATTCTTGCCGTCGATGATGAGGAGCATGGTGATGAACAGGGACGCCACGAACGCCATGGTGTTGCAGAATAAGAACACCGTCAGGCGTATGTTGTGGTGGTCCTTCAGAATCGCGTCGCCCAGGTGGTGGCTTTCCCCGGTGCTGTCCCAGAAGCCACCCGGGGTGTTCAGCCCGGCGACGTACGTGATGCTCACGGCGAAAATCGCGAGGAGCATCAGGACCTTGCAGAGCCTTTCTTCGGCTTTCTTCTCCTGGGCCTCCACCTCGGGGTCAGAGTGTGAGGCGACAATCCCGCTGGCACCGGAGTCAAGATTGGCGGTCGGCATCGCGCCGCCGGTGTCGGAGCCGTTGCTGTGGTTGGGGAGGGTCATGCCGCCAGAGCCGGGGCTGGAGTGGGGATTGATGGTCAAGTTCGCGCCACCGGAGCTGTTGCTGCTGTTGGGGACGGTCATCATGCTGCCGGAGCCGGGGCTGAGGCCAGAGTTCTTGTAGCACCTGTCCACCAACTTGAGAACGGCGACGCAGAGTAAGACGCCGGCCACCATCACCGCGTAGTAGATGGTGGAGAGCTTGTCCTGGCAGGTGCCGGCGCCGTACGCGCCCATGAGGCTGAGGAGGTCCAGCATCATGAAGACCCGCAGGGGCACGACGACCCAGAGGGTATCCTTCTCGTCCTTGTCGTGCTGGATGGCGAGGATGAGGATGAGGACGATGACCACGAGCGACGCCGCGAAGGCGGTGGCGTTGCAGTAGAAGAAGGCGAGGGTGGTAGTAGGTGTAGCGGATGATGGGGTCGCCCGCGGGTTGGCCGTCGTGGGCGGCCTGCCAGACGCTTCCCGGCGGGTTGAAGCCGGCGGCGTACGTGACGGTGACCACCAGGGTGGCCAGCAGCAGGAGGTACTTCCGCAGGCTGTACTCCCATCGCTGCGGGGGCCCAGGCTGGACGTCGTCGAGATCCATTGCCGGCGGCGGGGGCCCAGGCTGGACGTGGCCGGGATCCATTGCCGGCAGCGGAGACGCTGGCTGGAAGTGGCCGGGCTCCGTTGCCGGCTGCAGTGACGCCGGCCAGCCACTCCGCTCTCTCAAGTCTCAGCGGGCTACTGTGATCCAGGGATCAAACGGGACTACGAAAGATAAGAGGGAGCTGCGTGAATGTGGAACGAGTTGACTTGGCGGGTCGTCGCCGGGGCAAGGTGCACTGCATATTCCTTCCTTGCATGCATGCGGACGTATTAATGGTCCCACTTAACAAGAAGAAAAGTTGACCTGCATTGCAAAGTAGTAGTCATTAAATTTTACTTAAGTACCTGTAATTTAAGTTTGTAGCCTTGTATAAGGGAATGGAGGGAGTACAAACAAAATAGTGGGTTAACATATTCTCAATGTTTGATTAACAAAAATTATTCTTTTGAAGCTTTCAACTGCGCGGAATCCCAGAACTCATGAGCGACATGAACGGCACAAGTTACCGATTGACTACGTGACGTGATGCCTGGTCATGCTGAGTACGTCAGCAGAATTCGTCATGAAATTGCGTCGGCTGGGAGCACCCTATCCCTATGCAAACAATCTCCTCGACAGATCGATTCATCAATCTAAAAGATCACAGTTTGGGCCTATTTTGTACACATGGTATGAAGGCCTGGTACGTGGGCTTTGGTAAAAATGGCCGCTTCTGGTCCAGCCCAACAGAAGGAGGCACGCGTACTGCCATGTCTAGTGGGTCGAGTGAGAGCGAGCACACTGCCATCGCCTCCGCCGCTCTCCCTCGCTAGCTAGACACCAACCCCTAAAAAAAAACCTTGCTAGACACCATCCCCTCAAAAAAGATTTTTAAAAAAGCTAGACACCATCCCCTCATTTTTTTTTAAAAGCTTGCTAGACACCACCGGAATGTGTCTGGTGCACCGGTCATTCCGGTGCAATGCCCGTAGCGCATTTTACAATGTTTGATAATTTTTCGAAAAAATATAGCATATTCACACAACATCGGTCTATGTTCTTGTTAAATTTTAAATCAAAATCCAAAGCATTGCCCGAGGTACAAAAGTAACAAATACGACACTAAATAGTACATGACATAAGTTGGGCTTTAGATTTGGCCCATTATGACATTGATATCAAAAATTTCATTTTTGTATCTCATGCAGTATTTCGAATTTTGATATGAAATTTTATGAAACATGTTGATGTTGTGTCAACGTGCTAGACTCTTTTTTCCAGATTTTTTGAAACATTTTAAAATGCGATACGTCTTCCGATGCGCCGGTAGTATCACAAACACCAGTGCACCAGATACATTCCTAGAGACACCACAGCTTCAAAATGCTTCACTCTGGACTGAAGTATCTTTGTAATTTGTATATAAATATAAAATATGATATAGTACTTTGAACTCAAAAGAACTTTGACCTTGAAAGATAATAATTTTAGCTATATCAGTTGTTCTCTCATAATTTCCTTTTTTTACTTTCTGGCAGTAATGAGGTTCACTAATTATCATTTGTTTCCTTCTAATAAAGAGGTTATATACACTATAAGTTCTATCCTTAGATTTCACCGGCACATAAGTTTGAAATATGCAAAAGTATGAAGTATGTTAGGATAAGTTTAATTTATAAATCATTTCCACTATAACTGTGTTTATTTTACTGTTAAAGTTACTTCAGATTGTTCAAAAAAAAAGTTACACTACTGGAATCAGCTTCTTTGCTGTCCGCCATGGCGGACAGCAAAGACATAGAACCCGGACAGCAAAGGCCTTTGCGTCAGCCAGCAGACGGCAAAACATCCGGTTGAACGCACGCACGCACGCATATATATATATAACCAATATAGGATATCCAACACATGTTACCAATAGTAGCAAGTTTCATCCATACATATACATAGTTTCATCAATATTACAAAGTTTCATCCATAGGTAGCAAGTTTCACAAAGTAAAAACAAAAACTAAAGAGAAGCACTCCATATATGAAATTACAAGAAATGACTTAAAACTAAATATCTATTTTCCTAAAAACTATCTTATTACTAAGATCTTCTCTCGATCTTCTTCTTTTCTTCCAACCTGCATAACAAAAACACTAAGAAAGAAAGAATGGGTTAGGAGTAGAAATGTAGCATTTCACTTGGTGAAATGCAATGCTGTAGGAGCCAGCACTTGAGATAAGACAATCTTAAATTAGTGTAAAGTTATGACTTTTTAACTCAGCATTTGTATGCACGGCGTATCCACAGACAAAAATAGTGTAGGGCTTTTAGAGCAGAATTATATCAGAAACAGTTAGCATACCACCACACTGATAAGAACTGCGAGCATGGCTGGTTTTTACCACTGAGCATTTGAGACAAATTGAAGATTCCGTGTATATGCAATACAGAGACCCCTAAGACAAGTATTTACACAGGACCAAACTGAGAAAATAGACACAACAATGTGGAAAATGGAAAAATCAGCTAAGAAGTTACAAAGATAAACCAAGCTATATATTTTTTAGATTGTTCAAGATGTATTAGTGAGTAAAATATACTGCATTTAAATTGCGAGCACAGAGGTGGAATGTGAAACCATATGTGTAGTTCATTAAATAAACCCCTCCTTTCATATCAAGCATGTACAAACATAAAATTCGCCTAACCAAAAAAGATCCAATGACCAACTTTAGTTTTAAGCATTAATCTTGGTAAATGCATAATTAGAAAATCCAAGCAGAATTTCGAGTAAAAGAAAATTATGACAGCCTCAACAAGTACTAAACGAAAAGAAGATCTGACAACTACTCCCTCCATCCCATAATATAAGAGCGTTCTTGACACTAGATCTGACAACGAGTTATGTAGTGTTACACCATTTTATCTGTTCAAACGATGCTGGCCCGTTACAGACAGTTACCACAGGGTTCGCCTCTTACATAACACACTTTTTCTTTTGTGGGTAAAACACAGACTACCCTAAAGAATTTTGTTCTTAAGAGATTAGTAAAGAATTTGTGTTGCACAAGAAGGCATTTTCTGTTGCATAAGAAGGCATTTTGTGAAACTAATTAGCCGTGCTAAATCTGCCCTGCTCTTCTCAATAGTACAAACCGGCCAAACCCTATCCACTGGAACATACAGTACCAACTACACAGAAACAGCTTTCCAAAAAAAAAAAAAAGACGATGGATCTAGCAAGCTGGCGGCATCGGAGGAAGACGATGTTTCCCAAACAGTACCAACATACAGTACCAACTACACAGAAACAGCTTTCCAACTATACACTGGCATAGCCTGTATGGGACTCTATTTTTCTGTTGTCTAGTAGAGTACTAGATGTGAGTAAGAGGAAAGTTAATGTAATGGTAATACCAGCCAGCAAGCTTGGAGCTTCAGCCCACCCCCAGTCTACGAGTCATTGGCGGACATCATCTCCTCATGTTCAAGAAATCTGGAGCAATTTTAAACAGCAGCGACACCATGGCATGGAGCCATTTTCCTCTCTGTAATCTGGAGCAATCGAAAAAAAAACTGGAGTCACAGGCGTAAACATGATTAAACCTAGCCATATTGCTAACTTTCTACTGTAGAATACTGTAGTCTGCAGCTAAACTCACAGCTACTAGCTGCCTATCTTCACTAGGGAATTTCTGTATGCGGGATCTAAAACTATATACGTTTTCAAGCATGTCTCGAAAGCCTGCAGAGCTCCTAACATAACTTGCTGATGTACATCTAAAGTGATTATCTCTTGTCAGAATGCTCTTTTTCAGCTGCAACCACATAAACACTTTTACTTTTTAAGTTTAACACACCACATCTTCCCAATGCATTCAGTTAACTTCGTATATACTGTGTGGCATTTTTTGTTACACAGGTACCCATTATAATCAGGGATATTCCTGCAGTCAGCACAGCAGAAATAAATCAACCACACCAAGAACGTATCACCCCCACCGTCTACTTAAACTGAGCGAGGTCTTCCCAAATCGACAGTTTAAGACTGGGTAAAGGGGAGAGATGGGGGGAAACGCACCTGGTGGCCGATGGGCTTGGCCGGCGCTGCTTCGGCGAGGGGCGTCACTCCGGCGAGGAGGAGGCCGGATCCAGAGTGGCTGGACCTCCCGCAGCAGGATCCGGGCGCGAGGCAGCGTGGGGCGGCGGCGGCGACGCAGGGACGCGGGCGGGGCACAGAGGAGCTCGGTGTTCAAGGGAGGCGGGGTCGGGCGGCGCTCGACTGTAGGGCAGGCGTTGTCGAATCCCGCCGGAGCTCGCCGGAATTGGCCACCGTAGCTGCTCGCAGGAGGGAGAGGGAGAGACGAGCGGGAGAGAGAGAGGGGTGGGGCGGAGAGAGAGGGGATAGAGATAGGATAGAGATAGACGAGGTGGGGGCAACGGTTTTTTTTACACGAAAAAAAAGATAACCCCACCTCTTTGCCGTCCGCCAGCAGATGCCAAAGAGGGGGTGGACTGTTGCAGTGTACTGGCATCCAGTGGACCCCACCAGCACCTCTTTGCCGACTGCTGGCAGATGGAAAAGCTTCTTTGCCGTCTGCCAGCAGACGACAACGAAATGACAGATGGCAAAGACCTTTAGCAGTAGCGCGGCATGAGCGGAACGCGCTACTACTATAATTGCCACACTGTTCCCAACGTGCTAGGTATAGTAGTAGCGCCCTTCTAGGAACAGCGCTACTACTATGAATTTTAGCAGCAGCGTGTTTTGCCACCCCACGCTACTGTTATAGCTACTTTCACCTAACCCCCCGTGCGGCCTGATTCCCTCTCCTGACCTGCCTCCTCCCCAATTCCCCACTCTCTCTTCTCCCCCTCGTCGCCTCCGCCTCGCCGCCGTCTCCCCCGACCCCGCCTCGCCGCCGTCTCCCCCGACCCCACCTCGCCGCCGTCTCCCTCGACC